CTCATTCTCCAGACTTTACAACATTAGCACAAAAAAAAATAAAAACTAACTATACACTTATGACATGAGACATTACCATAACTAATACCTAAACTAACTTTGATCCAAACTCTACAAAAGCACCAAAACAAATACTCTGCACATCATTTGAACACCTTCAAAAACACCATCAAACACTCCAATACTCCAAAACACTACTGAAAACGACCATATCACACTGAATACTACCAAATACACATCAAAATCACCAGAACTAAGTTTAGCATCACCTGCTAAACCCATTTATAGAAATCCCCTCAAATCCGTTAACAAGAAATCCCTCCCCCATGGCGCAAAAAAAAAAAAAAAAAAAAAAAAATCATGAACTCTTAGTACATGATCACCATCAACTGAAAACATGTCTTGTACACACATGAATCTATGACAACACCAAACAAAACACCCCTATTCACTTACCTCAATAACTCATGATATCACAGAAAACCACTCATTTTTTATAAACCATTCACAAAAAAATATATTTGAAAATATGAAAGCGCATTCACCTCACTACCACCAAACAACGATGTCACACCTCAGGACCGGCGAGGTCACGTCCAGTGAAGTCTCACACCCATCTGTGTTTACTTGGTTGGTTCAGTAACTTCATACCATCCCCTCCTTGTTTAATCCTGTTGTACCCACAATTTCTAAGAAACTAGAACCAAGGACGCTTACCAGATTTTGATCCCACACTAAGATACAGAAAACACTCATTTTTATAAAATTCACAAAAAAATTACGATCAGCAATACCATATCATGTTTACCCTCAGCTATCAACATCAACACAAGATCACCAAAAAATCTAAGATCATGCTTCGCAAAACTACTATGTTCACTGAAAACTTATTTTTAAACATTCGCACAAAATAAGGTCATACACAAAACAAATACACGACACTTCCACCAACATCTATAACATAACATGGAGCACTATAACATATCATCCTTACAAAAAAAAAAAAAAAAAAAAAAAAAAACAAAAAATCACAGGCACCGCAACTTAGTACATTTCAATCAAAAATTTAAGCACGAGAATCACACTCAAATCTAAGAATTCACCTCCAAATAAGAATTACACATTATAACTAAGACATACACCTAAACCTATACTTGGACATATTAAACAATAATATATAAGACATAAGCACAAAAAAATTTATCATGTCATGAAACATTACAAGAATAAGTCACACACTCCAACTAATACACAATCACTTTTACTAAGTTCATGTTAACTATTCTCAACAAAAAAATAATTAATACAAATTACAACCAAAATTTATGTTTATAATCATCGAAACAAACTGTTTTACACATTTTTTTCTCAAACTGAATATTATACCGATTTTTCATTTCTCACCTTTGTTGCATATCACATTCCTCACCCCTATCCTCCCTGAAACATCCTTTCTTTTTCATCCGTATATCAACTAGAGTTGTTTTAACCCCCGACGACCCATCACAACGTAGGTGCCAGAGTCAACCATCCACACTCCAACACCACCTACTACACTCTGTCTCCTAATGTCTTGGATGGGTCGTCGGGAGTTTAAAAATTCAAGGGAGAAGTGGGTGGGGTTGGAGGGTGAGGGTCATTAGATAAAGGTGTTGAACGGAGACCGGCTCAGCCGCAGCTGTGGCCGGAAAGAAGGGGAAAGAGGCTTAGCCTCAATGAATAATTAATTCCTTAAGGATTTTCTAGTGTTGATAACTCTTCACCTTCCCGTCAACACAAAACAAGGGAGAGGCAGGATCCCCCACTCACTTACTGAGCAGTGAAAAAGGTCAGAGTCCAGGTGAGCAAGAAAATTGAAGAGGGCAACACAGTGGGGGCAATCTGAATTATTACCAGTGAAGATACAGTATGCTCCCAGGGATGCTGACACGGCTGAAGCACTTAGAGGAAAGCACCTGCTAAGTGAAAACAGTTGGCACAACAGTCTCCAACACTCTGTCCTCACTATGGAACCATGATGTGAAAGATCAGGACATTTACCAAAGCAATAAATGTCGTGTCCATCTGGCTCTGCTGGGGGCTTCACTGGAATAAGGCCACAGCATGTAAAGGAAATGGTTAATCCAGTTATTGGGGATGGGAAATTGCAGAGACACTGCTTTCAGTGATCACAATGGTTCGTCAACAATCCTTGGTGTTGATTCTGATGAAATTTGGACCTATATTTTTTGGTGCAACACTTTGTGCACTTTAAAAAAAGAAGGATGGAGATTCGGCCAATTGCCAGTAGGCATCACGGTACGCCGCTGTATCCAAAGCTGCTGTCCGAAAGTATTCGTCACAGCAGCCATTGATGGCTTCAACCAAACCAGCTTGGCTTTGGGGTCTCTCAAGGAAGTGAAGCAGCGGTTCATGCACAGGGCGTTTATCAACAACCTGCTGAGGACAATGCAGTGTAAAATTAGATTTCAAGAATGCGTTCAATATCTGAAAAGAGACGTGGTATTAGCAGCAGTACAAGAACATTTCCTGGTCTCTTCCCTTTTGTTTCAGATGGGTATAGCAAGGAATCAATGTTCTTTTGGAGAGCATGAATCACATTCATCGGAGGGTGTCCAACAGGAGTTCCTCTTGCCTCCATTTCTCTTCTGTATTGCAGTTAGGGAAATCACAGTCAGACTGACCGTGAGCTAAACATCTGGTTCTAGATGATGGCACACTAGCAAGGTACTACAAAGGAGTCACTCCTACATGACCTTTCACTGGTAATGACACGGGGACAGGAAATGGGTCTCATCCTGAATCATCAAATGTGAAATATCGCAGTCAGTCAACAAGTGATAATGCAGTGAGATCAAAACTAACAGGAGCAGCAGTCATTGCCCCACAAATAGTGTCTTGTAGAGACCTATGGGATAGCAATGCATGACACAATTCTCAGGAAGAAATTGCAAGATGTTAAGGAGAATGGAAACGAATAGGGCAATTGGACACCACGATGCCTTGTACCTTCTCACAAAGTGCTTGAGTCTGCCCAGGTTGGACATATTTCTTAGATGTGCACCTTCATATGTTAACCCTTTACTGCACGAATATGACAGTATTCTGGGCAGATTTTTTACGAAAGTACTTAACCGTACTCTAGAAGACGCGGCAGTGGAACCCAAGCTAAATTCCAGTTCAGATAGGAGGCATTGTTGTCCGCAAGTCATCACGATTGCGTTACCTGCTTTTCTGTCCGAGTGTATTGCATCAGTCGAGCTTGTTTAGCAGCGATTCCCTGAACTCTTAGGGACAAGATTGGAGTCCAGGACCAAAAATTCATGACGGAGCAATGATCTGGGATAATCTAACGGGCTCTGAAACCAGACTGCTCCCCCAAAACTACAAAACAATCGCATGGGATGGTCCAATAGTGGAAAATATTGCCTCAACAATGCTCCAGAGTGTGTCAGGGAAGGATAGAGCCCGCCTCCTGGCAGTGAGAGCCCCTCATGCTGGGGACTTTCTGTTGGCTGTTCCCAACTCCAGCCTTGGCACACGCCTCGACCCACAGACCATCCGCATCGGTATTGCCCTTCGACTTGCCGCCCCTATTCTCGCCGAACACAGGTGTATTTGTGGCAGTGAAGCAGCAGACCGATTCGGGTACCATGGTCTTGTGTGCCGTAAATCCGAGGGAAAGATTGCAAGACATGAGGAGGTTAATAACATTATCAAGAGGAGCCTCACAACAGCTGGATGCCCAGCAGTAAGGGAGCCACCCCAACTATGCAGATCTGATGGCAGCCAGAAGCATCCAGATGGTATCACCCTTCAAGCCTGAACAGATGGGAAGCAGGTGGTGTGGGACTATACATGTGCATCTACCTTGGCTGATACCTATCTCCAATACACCAGGGAGGAAGGAGGGGCAGCTGCCAGCTTCAGGGAGTCCCAAAAGTCTAGAAAATATGGAGAACTTGCCCATCATTATATGTTTGTTCCCATAGGCTCAGAGACCCTTGGCTCATGGGGAAAGAGTGCATCTAATTTCCTTAAGGAGCTGGGAAAAAGACTCATCAGGGTAACTAGGGATCTCAGGGCAGCTAGTTTTCTGTTCCAGCGGCTCAGTGCGGCTGTTCAAAGGGGTAATGCATGCTGCATTTTGGGCACACGCCCCAGCTCTGAGGAGCTGGATGAGATTTTCGCCTTATAATCGGTGATACACACGTAACAACATGTACCGTATATGCCACCTTTATATTAACAATGTATCTCTTAAATCTTCTGTACCATATTATGTAATAAAATATTCCTATTGGTAAAAAAAAAATAGTTTAAAAGATGGGGTGGTAGGGGAAGTGGAAAATTCAAACGGCTTCAGGAAGAAATCCAAATATTCTTCCTTGAAGCCTTTTTATACACTTCTCCGAGGCTATGGGTCCCACAATTTACACCAGAGGTGGACCCCATTATGATTTTTAAATATATATATATATATATATAATATATATATATATATATATATATATATATATATATATATATATATATATATATATATATAAATATATATAAATATATATAATACATATATATATATATAAATATATATATAATATATATATATATATAATATATATATATATATATTATATATTATATATATATATATATATATATATATATATATATTATATATATATATATATATATATATATATATATATATATATAAATTGTGAAGACTGAGTCACAATACCATTACAAGGACAATTCATAGTTAACCCATACTTATCATAGGAAATTTCGAATAGAGCTTCCACCCCTAGTGTGGGATAGTCGTGATCTAAAAACAATGGGCTCGAGACGCTGTCAGTGGCCCTAAAAACACCAACAAGATCTAAAAATATCATTTTGACAAATAGTAATAATCCGATAGAGCATAAAATAATTATTTTTTCTCATGACTATTCATCACCTTTAAACCAATTTTTCTGGGTGGCGTCGACGACCAGAGCGCATAAGTAACTTAGTGACGGAAGCGCAGTGTCCCTGCGCCATCTACGTCAGCTGGGAACCTTCAACTTGTTGCACCAATCAAACCTTGTACACAGTAACACTCCAGGATTACCATTTTATAAACACTAGCGATGTCAGCAGAAACACCAGCTACAAGTTTGAGGACCTGATTGTGGACGAACAATACCGTGTGTGTGTTACTGTTAGTGGAAAGGATTCCAAGGAGTGTGTATACGTTGATACGGTTCTGCCAGGTTAGTATAACTTTTACCCATACTTTTTCTCAACAATGATTTAAAGTTAATTGTTCATCTTGGAGTTTCTCACTCGTAAATCGTCGTAAAGCTCTTTGATATATTTCTCCCTCCCCCCCCCCACAAACATACGCACACGCAAGAAATATTATTTCTCTTACAAATATAAATTACCTAAGAGATAACCAGTCAATTTTGAAAAAGGAAATTCACCTCCAATTCGTCTTTAGGTCCTGATGTGGGGGTGCAGAAAGGCCCAGGTGACACCCTAATTGTTACCATAGGGACTAGCTATTGGTGTTACGACTGTGCATACAACGTGTCTTGGGGCCCCAACCTTGAGAACTTTATCATCACTACGGACCAACAGAACAGTATCGATACGTACAACACCAGCGCGGAGGAACTTAGAGTTTGTGCATCGATTATTAGCATGGACGATGGCAGATTCAGCTGCATGGTCTGCAGAGATAATTCTTCCCTTCCAACTACTGCTCCCAGTCACCGTTCAGGTAAGTAACAATGCTCTTCTAATTTGTTTCAGAAGCAGGTAAATTGTTATTTTATACAAATGATATGAAAAAGATCCTGATAACTTTTCATAACATACAATTTAAAGTGGACATTCTTGACATTACGATCCGTTGTGGACCAATATTAGTTCAGCTGTGAGAAAGAAGACAAAACTGAGTTCACACACACACACACATATACAAGTCCGTTCTAAAAAATTTCTCTTATACGTTTAAAGATAATTTTTGCATACACAAATTTTCGCTTGTCTTATATGGCAAGATGAGCGTTGCTATTGAAGTCTAAATCGCAAGTGTGTGTGTGTGTGTGTGTGTGTGTGTGTGTGTGTGTGTGTGTGTGTGTGTGTGTGTGTGTGTGTGCATGGAGAAGCCTCATGGAGATTTAAAGATTTAGCTCAAGGTCTACGTTTCTCTTCATTCACTTCATCTGCCCCGCATTCATCGTTATTATTATTTTTATTATTATTATTTTTATTTTATTAGTATTATTATGCATTCTTTGCAGACAACGTGATCATAATTGTGTGTAGTGTGTCGGCAGGAGTCCTAGTGCTTGGTCTTGTGATCGGTGGCATCATCTGGTTACAACAAAAAAACAAACATCCCAGTGGTGTCACTCAGGCCAGTGGTCCCGCTCCGGATAACATTCATCATATTTAGATCCACTGCACTTTGATACATACGGGAAAACTTAATTAGTGTCAGACCACTTTTGTAGGGCTCACCTTCACTTTTTTTGTGTCATTTCGGTGTGGCACGAATTTTGAAAGTTTCCTATTATTTTCTACTGAAAATCTGGGAGTGCCATATTTATCTCTGTGAGTAGGAGACGTTCTTACAGACCACAAGAATTTTCTGACCTAAGGTCTACAGCATCAACAATGTAATATAGGCAGTGGTGTTAATACACCTGCGCAAAAAACTAGTTTAATTATTGATCATCTAGACTATTGTTTATCATAAAGTCCCGTGTGCATCACCATTACTGTATATAACATTAATGCTATTGTTCAGTCTTAAATTCTGACTACGAATTCTTTTATTTCCAGGTTCCCATCTCTTGAAACAATGTACTATTAATCTAACTAACAATACATATGTGAATTAATGAGAGAAAAGAAATGATTTCAAATGCCAGAACAATACTCTAAAGAACAGCGACTATTCATTTGTAAGAAGTATTAAAAGAATTCATAAATAACGTCTGATTAATAAAATTAACATACAGCGTTAGCTTTTCCCTTCTGCAAGCAGATTTTCATCCCGTCATCACTCCTCAAAGTCTCTAGTCCTTGTATAATGATTTTAATGAGAGTACAGCTCTACTGAGACAGCATTCTCTGGTCTGAAGTTACCTGTCATCGGCATTGATAATTCCCAATGGTTGTACCAAGAGTATTGCAGAAAAAAACATCATGCAATTCAACATCAATCAAGCATTGGGTTGTGACATTCTCTTATACATCATTCAGTCTGACTTCATCCAAAGTTAAACAGAGCACTTCTGAATTTCCTAAAGTTATACAGTATGAGATTTTTGATAGTCCAGTTTGATCAAAATTGCAACAAATCCAAATTTTAATAAAATATTTATTTTATTGATATACATGCTCACAAACTAAAGTGAAAGGGTACTATCCGGGCCCTAAGACTCATCATTAATTAAAGGAAGAGGCATATATTTTCATCGTGATAATTAAAGGGAAATAAAAAAATTCACACAATTTTAGACATAAAATGGTTAAACTGGGTCCTACCCACTTGAATTTCTCTCTCCACTTTCGTCGAATTTGGAGAAACCTTTTTGAGTGCTTGAAGTTATGCCATTGACGGTTTAGAAAGTTATCCGAGCCATTCTAGTAAGTAATTAAGTTTGAGGTATACACAAATACAGTTAGAGATTATCATACATAGCAGCATATGGAATGGGTTTAATAATTTTGGTCACAAGGTACCTGCACATGCCAGTTATTCCAAGAATCTGGTCTCTGTTACCGTACACTACAATGAAAATTTGAAGCCGATTAGGTGAGCCGTTCTGAAGCGACATGCACTCGAAAAGTAGGAGGAAGAAAAAGTATAGGGCAAATTCTTACAAGTCCCCCTTGGGGGATGCCTAATAAAAGGAGTATTGAGCCTCGTCTTCAGGGAGTGTACCACTGAGAAGGCTTAGCAACTGTCCCTGCTCTAAACGTGTACTGGAAACTGCTTAGCGACAAACAAATAGACAGACTAGAGACCCGACATGACTACTGGACCTCATATTTAGATGACGAACTACGCAGACCTGCAAACACACACAATCTCTTCTACTCTCTATTAGCTCCTGACCCAATTCCTATATACAAATAACCATGCTAAAATCTTGACTCGCTAACCTGTAACTCACAGGTATGGACCTTTAATAATGCCCTTGTACCATGCGATTCACGCTTTGTCGCCCCCCTTTCGCCCCCCTTCCCCCCTCCAGTCCCCTAGTTGCGCACTACCTCCTTAATCACCATCAGCTCAGCTACTGGGTTAAGCCCTGGTTCTTTCCCTCTACAATAACCCTTCCTCTAACCAACCTATTCTTCCTCTATCCCCACTTCCCCACTCACCCCTTCTTGGGGTTTTACCTAGAATCTATCTAGCAACTGGGAAGCTCCACTTCACACAAAAATAGAGCTCTGCTCTATACCTTTGTATCTCTATTGTAATTAATGACCTGTATCTTAACCATATCTATTCATTCACTTTACAAAACAGAAGATCATTAAATAGTTTGGAATAATAAGTCGTAGTTTTGAAATTGTGCCATTTTTTCATTAGGTGCTTTTCTTACTGTACATATATAAGAACTACTCCTTAATAGTCTACGTCTAAATATTAAGTCTTTAAGCATTAGGATTAGTTTGCCCGAAATGTATTGTATATTAGTGGTTTTCTTTTAAGTAAACTACACTATTTGTATCACATAAATGAATAAAAGTTGTATTGTAGGCTGTCAAACTATTAATGTTGCCCATTTGTTTACATCAAATTAATTTCGATATTTTCAAAGAGTGGTTGCAATATTAAATTATTTTGTACTGTGAGGGTGATTGTGGAATAACGTAATTATGATACTCAATAAGCTACATTAGCGTCGTCATGGGGACAGTAAATATTTTCTTTATCTATTTTTTTGAGAATTTTATTCATTTGGAAAGAATGATTATATAGTGGCAAGACGCTTTAGTGTTCACACTACGGTTTTTGGTTGAAAAATTTAGTCATTATAAGGTAAGGTTAGAGAAATGTTTAGGATTTTTGTAATATTGAATAGAATCTGTTTTGAGAAGAAAACAATTTTATTATTCTTATACGATTAGCTAATACTTATATATATTTAAGGTGTTAAAAATAGTTCTGTTATATAATTAACGGTTAGGGATCTAGTAATTAACCCTCAGTGTTATTTAGGAAGTTTTGTGTAACTTAGTATGTAGGAATGTAGCAGAAGACTATTTTGCCTCAGTATGTATGTAGCCATGGGAAGAGGTGGATGTGTTGCATCTCATTCTTAACAAGTACCATTACCTCAGCTTGGGACTCAGCTGTAAGAGCATGGTTGAGCCCTAGAGGATTAAAAAGGTCATGTGTATAACTGGGAAAGAGACTGGAACATTCTTGAAGTTAAAAGCGGAGAAATGGATATGTGATCTCTGTAGTGGTGTAAGGCAAGAGGGAATTTTGTTATTCTAACCTTGGGTGTCAAACTGTATACGTATATAGGCACAAATTACAAGTGTGATTGCTCTGTATGAGTTGTGTTCTTGTTGATTCGCCGGTATTCTCCCGGCCTGGGCCTTTTCCAAGCGGTGGCCCAGACTTTGCTCCCTCTTTAGGGAGTGTCTGAGACCTAAGTCTCCCATGGGACGAGGCACAAATACCCCACATTCCCCACCCTCACGGGGCTCGTAGGGAGAAGCTAGGTCTCTCTGGTCTGCCATCCCCGCCCCAAGGGGGCTAATGAGAATGACAGTCTTGTGAGCTGCAAGCTCTGGCTCAGGCACCTACCCTACCCTAGAAGGGCTGGGCATGGTGTCGATATCGGGTTGTGTTTCTCATAGAGTAGTTATATTTATGGTTTTTGGATAATGTAGAGGAAATAACAATGTTATAATTTTTGTGGTAAATACAGTGTACTTAAAAAAATTGTTTAAAAAATTAAATAAATTTAGGGAGTGATTTTCATTATCCTTATCGTATTTTATTATGATTATTAATGGGAAGGAGGTATTCTATTCTATTTGATTCGCCGGTATGGTACCCCGGGCCCCGGGTCTTCTTCCTTTTTGGGTGATCCGGTATTGGCTCCCCGGGTAGGGAAGTGTCGTTTATCTTTACTTGCACCTGCGTGGCAGGTCTTCAGCAGGAATGGGGGGGGGGGGTACCTCACCGGCTCTAGGGGCCAAAATGACGTACCAAACGTTAGTGTGCACGAAACAGCGGCTGGTGTGCAGTGCAATGGAGGCCCAAAGCAGGCCCTCGCAGCAACTTCAGCGGGGAGGGGGGGGGCGGATGATCGTGAAATTTGACTGGAAGTAAGGTTTCCAAGTCCCCGGCGGCTAAGTACACAAGATGTGCTGCCTTCATCCTCTCGGGCCTGTCCCACTGGGGTATTTGGAAATGTCTACGGCGAAGGGGCATCCTGTTGCCGGCCAGTCTAACGGGTTTTAGTGCAGCAAGGGCTTCGGAACCATTCGGTCACAATGGGCAAAGCCTCCTCTCGTGCCCGTTCAACAACCCTGCGCAGTGGTAGGATACCCTAAGCTTAGGCGGTGGATATGTCCCCTCAGTTTTTGGGGACTGTGTCCGAATACTTGGAGGGGGCGCCCTGTGGGTCGCCCTGACATTACCAACAGAAGCTCCGTGAATCCCAGGGTCAGGGAATGGGCGCCTGGCCGCACCGGCAGCCACAGCGCAATCTGGCTGAGGCTGAGGGAGATTGCAGCACGTGGCTGTGCCTCGGGGGTTTTGCAGTCCTAGCAGCCTCATCTGCAGCATCATTGCCAGGGATCCCCACATGGCTCGGGATCCAGTTGATGGCAGCCCTGCGCCCCTGGGCCATGAGAGTCTGCAGGTCACCCCGGATGGATTGTTTAAGTGTATGTTGTCCTTTGGCTCTCTGTGCATAAGCGCTTGGGAAATCGCTGCCTTGGAATCAACGTGGATGATGGGGGGATGTGATGGTCTGCAAGAGCATGCTGCAGAGCTTGTTCATGGCAAAGAGTTCGGCCTGGAGGATGGTGCAATGGTCTGGGAGGCGCCAACCTGCTGTCAGATTGCTGTGGAACATCCCAGCAGCTTTTGCGGCCTGCCACTGGGTCTCTGGAGCCATCGGTGTAATATGGCACACACCCTGGGCCTTCCGCCCCCACAATGCTAGCCGAGGCAAGTCGTTGCATAATGTCCTGGGTGCAATGCCTCTTGCTGTCTGGTAGGGTTGTCCAGTGCACCGCAAACAGCTCTGGTGCCCAAGGGGGGGCACGTGTAGTTCGCTGCCAGTCTGTCGCAGCCTCCCGCCTGGAGCAATGTCATGGGCAAGAGCTTCCTTTGTGGCATCTGCTACCGACCAATCCATCGGCGGCCGGGAATGACCTGTCCCTGGCGGACCCGTAAATCTCTCATCAGTTTGTCACCCCCGGGAGTCGGAGATACTTTGCGATCCTTTTGGCAGCTACCAGTTGGATCCTGTCCCTTTAAGAGGCTGTAGCTGCACCTCAAGGTTCAGAGCCACTGCATTGGCCCACCTAGGAGCCCCAGCATGGCCCGTTACAGCTGTGTTCTGGATGACACAGAGGGATTTGATGTTTGTGGGTCTGGCGTGAATCAGAGGGAAGTGCCCATAGTCAAAAGAGAGAAACGTATTGCCTGGATGTAGAACAACCCCATGACCTCGAGGCTGGCCCCAACCCTAGGGTTGGTCCCTGGCACTCAATGCCCCGACCCTCTGAAGAGCCCTCTCTTTAATGTGGCCACACATGTTTCTGGAAGGTGAGGTGCCCGTTTAATGTAGATGCCAAGGTACCTATAACTGTGAACCCACTCCAGGTCGATACCCCGGAACCGCAGCCTCTGATGGGCACCTGGTGCGAAAAGGGTCATGGCTTTGGATTTTGCCGCAGATATCTTAAGCCCCAAGTGATGGCAAGTGGAAGCCAGCAGATCGAGGTCCTCTGGGCATGCGCAAAAGCCGGCGCCCTTTCCCAGGTACGACAAGTGCCAGGTCATCGGCATAGGAGGAGGATGGTGCCTCTGGAAAAAAGGCAGGCACACCAGCTGATGCATCAGTACATTGAACAGGGTGGGACTAAGCACCCCCGCCCGTGGGAGTGCCATTGTCCAGGGTCTTGAGAGAAGAGGCATGCCCCTGGAAACATACCCGGGCCCGCCTGTCTGGAGATAGGAACGACGCCATGAAAGCAGCCCGCCTTTAACCCCCCCGCAGGCCAAAAGTGAGAGGATGGCAGGTGCACTGGCTAGCTCAAAAGCTTTCTCGAGGTCAAGAAAGACAACAATGTGGGCTTGGGCGTCCTACCCAATGCCCGGCCAGTAGAGTGGTAAGGCTTTCGAAAGTGCCCACTCCTCTGGTGAAGCCATAGAGGTGTTTGAGGAGGGCCAAGCTTCCCCCTCAGGCGCTCCAACACCATCTTTCAGACACCTTTTAGATGCAACTGGTGAGGGAGATGGGTCTCACACTGCCAGGTCCCCAGGCTTAGGAAACGGTATGATGTCAGCCTCCTTCCATACGACAGGGAGTTTGCCAGCTCGCCAAGTCCCGGGTTTACGACCCCCAGGACAGCTAAATGTCCGAATGGCCAGACCGAGTCAGCATGCCCTAGGTGATACCATCATGCCTCGGTGCAGTGTCCCGATGAGATGTGAAGGCTGCCTGGAGCTCCTGGTCGGTGAAGTCTTTTATCCATGACATCCTTAGCCTGGCATGCTGCTTGGTCACCATCATCCTTCTAGGGAAGGAGGGTGGCTTGGAGGTCCTGGGATCCTGAGGCAGTTGAGCCATGGCCGCTCTGGAGGTGAAAAGGTCCACCAGACGTTCTGCCTCCGTTGCGGGGTGGGGTGCAACCGAGCCACACTGCGACGCTGCCCAGTGGCCAATCGTAACTTGGTCCAAAAACTCAGATAAGGTGGAGGAGTAGCTGAATGAGGCACACCACTTGAACCATTTAGATTGCCGGACCCTGTGTTTAGACATGGCATGCATGCTGCACCACTTCCCTGAGCATACGCAATGACTCAACCGTGGGATTCGCCTGTGCATCTTGCGTACGACGTTGGTGGTGGTTCTGCTCCTGATGCCCTCATTGTAAAACCACCAGTCACGTTTATATGACCCCCTGCCTGTAATCTTAGGTATGGCTGCCTCAGCAGCCACATGTGAAGGCCACCTGCAAGCTTTGAGCCGCCTAAATCTGGGTCTTCCGGAAGAGGATCTCCCCACCAGCACTAAATGATCTCCTGGAAGCACTGCCAGTCGGCCTTTTTTAGATTCCACCGGGGGGTTTAGGTGTGGGGAGCGGCACCGCTGGACCATCACCCGGGTGCCCACTGCAAAGTGATCTCTGGTGAGACAGGGGTGGACCTCCCATCTCGCACTCGAGAGATGGATGGTGTGACGTCGAAGCGGCCACCTAGTGATGTTTTGGGGCTCACCATTATTGAGGAGGGCGATGTCAGGGACCTCCTCCAGCACAGCCGCAAGGTGCCTTCCACTGCGTTGGTAGGAGAGACAGAAGAAGTTTGGGTGGTGGGCTTTGAATCCCCAGCCACAACAAGACCCTCCCTGGGGCGAGTGCTGCCCCCTATGAAATGTCAAGGGTGTACCGAGAGCGTAAATATTGTAAACACGAGGGTCCATCGCTAGGTGTAAGGTGACAGCCTGAACCTCTACGCCCTTCCCACAGTTGATGGGGTCAGTGGAGATTTAATAGGGACAGTGGTCCTGACGTAGATCGCCGTGCCCCTGCCAGTCCCTTCCAGGCAAAAAAAGAAGGTAGGCCGAGAATCCCCAATACGTGGCTGCATTTGACGTGACAAATCGGTGAGTGTCTCCTGGAAAAAGGAAGAATCAACCTCATCCTGAACTGCGCTTCAATCACTAAGTGAATTTTCGCTGCAGCCCGCAAATTGTTAAAACGCCAGCATCCATGTCAGGAGCTGCCTGGCAGGCGCCCCGTCCTCCACGACGGCGCAGGCGACGAGGATGCTGAGAGCCCCGATGGGTTTTCCCTTTGTGATTCGGAAATGATTCGACATTACCTCTGCAGGCATTTAGCTGGACGACCCTCGAGTGGGGGCTGGGTCCACTGGGTATGTCTGGGTGGCTGTCGGGCACTGCAGCAGCATAAGCTGGGTGCACCCTGGGCCCCCGGCCTGAGTGGCCATGGGCTTCCGGGTCCCCCGGCGGGGAACCTCTGCCTGACTCTGGCCGCTCACAGTAGGGGGGCCCGCCCCTTTGGGGAAAAGGCCTTTCTGGTGGTTTTGGCAAGGAATGTTGGTGCCCAGCTGGGACCTGCTGGGCAGTGTGCCTGGCTGTGGCTGTTTTTCCCAATGATTTTCTTCTTGGTCACCTTGCCATCTGACCCCGCAGTTGACCGTGCTGCTCCCAAACCAGTGCCTGCCCCTGAGCCACCGCTGGGGCACAGTGCTGGGAACTCGCTGGTATTGCCCTCCTGCGGTATCCAGGGAACCGTGGTTGGAGCCCATACCGACTGTTGCTGGGCAGTTCCAGGGCTGGGTGGCGTAGGGGTTGTCGGGTCGTTCCGATGACGAACCTGCTGCCAGTGCTGCAACATCACGGACAGCTCCGGTTTCCAGGCAGGGTTTGCCTCTTTCATCAGTTGGCACACTTGGGCTCTGGCCGAAGGGCTTCGCCAGTTGGCTGTTTGAGGACTGCAATGCAGTCCTTCGAGTCGTGTGCCTTGCTGCACACACACTTCTTCTCTCGCTGGCAGGTGGCTACAATATGATTGAACCCCTGACAGCTGAAGCATTGTACGGGGCCTGACAGGTATGGTCGGGTCTTGAATTTTCCCCCAGCCCCCAAGGTCCAGGTGCGTGGGAAGTGGACCTTTGTGGTGGATCACACTGGCGGGTGGGCACCTTGTTCACCGTTGCAGTGAGTCGCTCCGCCTTGACAATATTGGGCACTTCCAAAATAGGGTCCTTGGGAGGGGCACAGGGACGTGTAAGAGCCCCCCCTTGTACACCCTCTCTGAAGCAACCAGTTTCCCGCTTTCTGGGTGGGGTCACAACCAGCCCCTTCAAAATCCTCGTAAGAGTCTTCGCCCCAGGAATGACCAGAACCTCGTTCCTGAGAGTGAAACTCCAGTGGAACTTGAGGGGGGTAGACCTTCAGATACCTTACAAACCGTAGTTGGGAACCTTGAATATGTTGAAGGCCCCGGTTGCTTGTGCCCAGCTGGCGGGAATTCCCCCTTCCCGTGGAGTCAGCCAGTCCCATCCACTGTGGAGGCCGGCGCAACTGGTGTAGGGACCTGGGATGGCTTTATCCTTGCCAGTTGAGGAGCTACATCCTCCTGGCTTCCTTCCACGACCCCTATGGCCATCTGGGGGTGCAAGTCTCTTGGGTGGGGCTTGCCGACGGACCTTTGTTGTAGATTGGTAGATACTGTAGTCTCCACTCTATCCTTGGCCTTCTTGGTGGGGGCTCCCACCTGCCCCACGTCGTCCTCCAACTCGTCCCTGCATTCCAAGGAACGTTTAGGCCGCTCTCCTGGATCTGTCATGGTGACTGTAGGTGTGGGGACAGAGCCAGCAGCAGAGCTGCTGCCTGTGACCTCACAGCCGCCCACACTGGGTGCAGAGCTGTGAGGCTCAGAGCCCCAGTTGGGGCCCGAAGCCACCCTCTCGTGGCTCACTGCTCTGAAGCACTGAACACAGTCCAAGGATCACCAGAAACGACGCTAATCTGTGCGTAAACTAACACAGATTTGCGAACACAACACACACTGTTTTCCAATCTTCGTCCAGTCGATAATCCTTATGAATCTCCAGTCCAGTTTTTCCGTGTCACCAATTCGATCCACACCCGGGAAGGAGGTAATTGGATAATTCATCTTCCGCAATATAATTATAATAGTATCTATACTAGCAGTTATTAATAGTAAAAAAAACCTTTGGTAGTGGCAGCATTATCGGACAATTATTTATAGTGGTTACTATTAATGATTTTATCTTTTTTTTGGATTATTAACAGAAATTTCTTTATTTTCGGTTTCAATTGCATCTTTCCACATCCCAGACATTTCTGTATTTGCTGACCTTGTAGTAGTAACTGAGCAATTGTTTTAATAATATTCATGTGTGTGTGTGTGTGTGTGTGTGTGTGTGTGTGTGTGTGTGTGTGTGTGTGTGTGTGTGTGTGTGTGTGGCTCCCAGCAATTAGAGACTATCATTGTGAAAGTTCTCTAGCCTCCCTCAGTTCTCTTCCTCCTTCCCTCACTCCCTCCCTCCTGTGTTACATAACAGACCCATCTCTCCTTTCCTACCTCCCCCCTCCCTTCCACTTGTGTTACATAACAAACACAGCTCTCACCCTCCCTTCAATCATCTATACACTCCATCTTCCCTCCTTTCCACATATGTTAAATGAAATGCTCCTTCACTCCTTCCCTCCCTCTCTCTCACCTTCCTTCCTTCCCAACCTTTCACCAGCTTCTCACACATTACCTAAACGGGACTCCGGAAGTCATACACACAATGCTTGATCTAGCAAATTCGTGACATTTAAATATCATTTTAGTCTAATTCGGTGTTATAGTCTTTGGAACTGAGTTAATTTTACCTGAAAAGACTATACAGGAGACTTGTGCAGCTCTTTCACAGACAGTCTGTTGTGTGACCTTGGTAGGTGATTATTTGCTTGTGTAAGCGTGTTTGCAGTGTTGTAAGTTGGGCCCAGTTTCTCTTGGTGCTTAAACAGTATTAAAGCTTCTATGTATTATTACGCTTAATGGCGTTGTTATGTAATTGGTTGTATTAAGAAACGATATGCTAATCTAAAGACCGCCAGTCAAGAAATCTGCATTAAACTAAGGGTGGAAAAATCGACTTAGGCTTCAACAGGACTGGTGGATATATATATATACACACACATATATATATATATATATATATATATATATATATTATATATATATATATATATATATATATAATATATATATATATATATATATAAAATATATATATATATATATATATATATATATATATATATATATATATAATATATATATATATATATATATATATATATATATATAATATATATATATATATATATATATATATATATTTATGTGTGTGTGTTTGTGTGTGTGTGTGTGTGTGTATCCTGCAACTAGCTGCAGCTAGTCGGAAGATCGAACCCATGTTGTTTTAGCCCGCCTCTTGTGAAACAAGTCAGAATTCAAGACCCTCTAAATCACTGGACCATACAATCCTACAAACAACATGAGCCTAGCGAACTAGGCTTACTTCATGTTGCAAGGACATACGATGGTGTAGTAACCCCAACTAATTTCATGTTGGTTGTAGGATCGTATTTTCCAGTGGTTTAGAGCGTCGTGAATTTTGACCTCCTTTCCATTAGGCGCGCTAAAACAACACGGGTTCGATCCTCATTCGCATGGAAACACTGGGCATGTTTCCTTACAACTGCTGTCCCTGTTCACCTAGCATTAAGTAGGTACCAGGTACCTGGGTGTTAGCCGACTGTTGATGGTGGCATCCTGGGATGGGAAAGGGGGTAGTATGTCTTAGATAGGTAGGATAACAGCTCCTAGCCTTTAGAGTAACTTTTCGCTCGAAGTTTTTAGCATTGTAAAGGCTTCCTCGGGAACAGTGCGTGGAAGGGAGCGGTAGTCTGAGAGTCACCATCCAGGAAGATTACATCATCTGACTCACGAAATCGAAATGACACGATTGCAAACAAACCATACCACGAGTCATGATGACGGCTTTGAGGGGACTTGAGCTAGAGTTCGTCACGGCCACGTTGGCTGGAGATTCGTCTATAAAAACATGCATTTGTGGACACAGTGGTGCCTATGCTAACCTTCCTATGGTATATAAATATACCTAGTTGGATAAATCTTATTGTAGCCAGCTGGTCCAGTGGGTAGCGCGTCGGTCTGGAGTTTTATGACTTCGATCGCGGGTTCTATCCCCACCTGTGGTATGGTTTGATTATATCATCTGTGTTACAGACAGGAGACATATAGCGCTAAGAACCATGGTAGAATTTTTTAATATCTAATAAAATTAATTCGAATTAAAACTGGTGTGCCGAGGCGTTGAAATGTATAAAAATTATACAGAACAACGACTGTGAAAAGAATAATGAACTTCCAAACACTTTCGTGATTTCTCACATATAATATCACCTGATTACTGTGATTTTACTGCAGATGAAAATATAATTGTAATTCCTAAAATAAGCCTCATACATTATTGCAGTATGATGAATTAGCTGAGATTCAAAGAGCATTGTTTTTATAATGCTGTGGCGTAGCATCTTGTTGATGTTTAAATCATGATAGTGAAATCATAAGCTCTTGACTTTTGGCATATAGGGAAAAAAACGTACGCTAATATGGAAATTTTGGTTTTAATTTATTTCGCTGCTCAGTGTTACCCTCATCAGATGACGGGGAAGGGGAGAAGAATGGGGAACGTAAGGGCGATGGAGGGAAGGATGGGAAAGGTAGGGGAAAGATAGGGGAGATGTGGGGGGGGATGGGGAAGGTAGGGGTGACTGGAGATGGGCGAGGAAGGGCTTGGTGTAATGGGGTAGAGTAGGGTGGGAAGACGTGAAGAGGGGTATGTGAGGGAGGGAGGGACAGAGGGAGGGAGGGAGGGGTAACTTACGAGGTGTTGGGAGTGGAAAGGTGTAAAAGAGGGAGACAAGAAGAGGTAGGAAAGAGAGGGGTTTGGTGTGAAAGAGACAGGGAAGAGGAGTAAATAAGAGGTCATGAGAAAGCCCTTGCTGTTCCTCTCACTTGTTAGTACAGGTAAGTATAAAAGTGACGACGCTCCCTCTCAGAGGCGCATACCCACCTTACCACCAACATGAACTTCGTGAGTGTGTGTGTGTACTCACCTAGTTGTGGTTGCAGGGGTCGATTCATAGCTCCTGGCCCCGTCTCTTCACTGGTCGCTACTGGGCCACTCTCCCTGAACCATGAGCTTTATCATACCTCTGTTGTGTGTGTGTGTGTGTACTCACCTATTTGTACTCACCTATTTGTGGTTGCAGGGGTCGAGTCCTGTGTGTGTGTGTGTGTGTGTGTGTGTGTGTGTGTGTGTGTGTGTGTGTGTGCGTGTGTGTGTGTTTGTGTGTGCCTACTTATATGTGGTTGCAGGGGTCGATTCACAGCTCCTGGCTGCGTGTGTGTTTGAGAGAGAGAGAGAGAGAGAGAGAGAGAGAGAGAGAGAGAGAGAGAGAGAGAGAGAGAGTATTCACGTCCTTATTCCACACATTTTTCAGGTCGCGTTCGCCTCTGTGGTCGCTGTGGTCTCCTCCGCTAAACTACCAGGAGACCCGCAACCTATCGCCATCCTTCGAGACGATCGCCTGGCGCCTCAGGGAGCAGTGTACAAGACCGACTTCGAGACAGAAAACGGCATCGTTGTCAGCGAGAACGGTCAGGCTGGGTCGGTGGGCCAGAGTAACGCAGAAGGCTTCATCTCGTAAGTCATGTCGCTTATTGTCTACCGCAAGTGAGATATCAGGTCAGGTTCCTTTTGTGTGGAAGTATAGGTGAAAAAATGGTAACAAAGGTCTTGAATGATCTCACCGAGTCTGGAAAGAACTATCTACTTCTATTTAGATTGAGAATTACCGCTTTTTTATCTAGGTGTTTGAGGTGAGGATAGTAAAGCAGAAGGCTCTCCCACCTCACCCTCTACTTGCTCATTTGATCTTTAAGTATTTCACTTATACATCATGGACACTCGTGCACCCACTAAAAGTCATCTTCTAAGGCCCGTGTCAGGACACTGTTTCCTGATGGAAAATTTACATATTATATATAAGCATCTCACCTTAACTTTAAAGTGTGCTGCATTATTTTTACTTTATAGTCCCTCTTAAGATGTGTGTGAGCATACACGAAAGAGCTCAAGTTTTTCACTGTTTAACCGTTCTGAGACAAAATTTTGTTTATTTGCAATCACGTGTTTTTAAGTGATTCTTTGCCATCAGACATACTACACAAATGAACCCCTGTGGAGAAAATATAACAGAGGATAAGAAGGGACCTGTATATTTTAGAATTGGGCCTCTGTAATAGGCCAAAATATACGGTAATCTTCTTGTCTTTATTATATTTTCTTATTTATTTGTGCCACTAAGCGATAGTCATCAAACTTTTGTATTTGGATATACGTGTATGTGTACACTGCCTGTCTATCCTATGTAACAGTCAATTCACATTCACCATTACTTGTGTGTGTGTGTTTAGGTACACGTCTCCTGAGGGCCAGCCAGTGCAAATCTCTTACGTCGCCAACGAGTTCGGCTTCCAGCCTCAGGGTGACGTGCTTCCCACGCCTCACCCCCTCCCATCACACGCCATCGAGCAAATTCGCTTCGCCGAAGAGCAAGCTCGCCTTAGTGCTCAGTCTGGAAACTAGGAGAGTTATTGCTGGAAAAACCGCCACCGGAGCTCTCCACTGTCACTCTTGACACCAGATACAGTGCCGTATTTGGCCCATGACAAAGCCAGCCATTAAATCCCTCCCGACGGACCAACATGCCTCTCTAGTCGACAAAAAAAACTGGAATATTTTTTTACATGCACCCTCTACACAGTTTGCATATAAATAAAAAATACTTTCATGTTGGTCGAGTCATTTCAACCCCAAGATGATAAGGCGATCGTGAAACCATGTGTGAGTAAAAGCTGGTGTGAAACAAGCTGTTTCATAAAAGCTTTTACCAGCTGTAATTGACTTTGAGCAGGTTTGGAAAGAGTCTGAAGTACGTTTGGGGATGGTGTGGAGGATTACTATCAAAAAGAAGCGCTAAACCACAAGGGCCATACAGCATGGTGTGGAGGAGGTTTCTAGAAGATTGCAAGTAAGTTTTTAGCGGGTCTGGAGATATTTCCAAGAGTGTTTCGTAAAGGTTTGAAGAAGCTTTGAATCATGTTTAGAGAAGACATGGGGCAGATTTAGAAACAAGCTTGGACAGTTTAGGTTTGGAAAGGAAGCAAGGAGAGTTTGAAGCAGATTTTGTAAGAATCTGAAATAGGGTTGAAGAGGGTTTGGAGATAATATGAATGGAATTGGGAGAAAGTATGAAATGATAGGAGAAACAGTACCAGTGAATAAATGTGTGACTGTAAATATATGAACGAATATATAATTATCAACTAATTAGTAGGTGAGCGAGGAAGAAGAAAAAATTATAAATATATAGAATGAAAAATGAATCAAAGGATGGTATGAATGATAAATGAAAGGATAAATGATTAGGTTAGGTATAGAAGCTCCTTCACCTGACTTTCATCAAATGTCTAATCATGTATACAAGCTGTCAGTATCACAGGGCGGCGGCGGCTGCTGCTGCTGCTGCTGCTGCTGCTGCTGCTGCTGCTGCTGCTGCTGCTGCTGCTGCTGCTGCTGCTGCTGCTGCTGCTGCTGCTGCTGCTGCTGCTGCTGCTGCTGCTGCTGCTGCTGCTGCTGCTGCTGCTGCTGCTGCTGCTGCTGCTGCTGCTGCTGCTGCTGCTGCTGCTGCTGCTGCTGCTGCTGCTGCTGCTGCAGCTGCTGCTGCAGCTGCTGCTGCTGCTGCTGCTGCTGCTGCTGCTGCTGCTGCTGCTGCTGCTGCTGCTGCTGCTGCTGCTGCTGCTGCTGCTGCTGCTGCTGCTGCTGCAGCTGCTGCTGCAGCTGCTGCTGCTGCTGCTGCTGCTGCTGCTGCTGCTGCTGCTGCTGCTGCTGCTGCTGCTGCTGCTGCTGCTGCTGCTGCTGCTGCTGCTGCTGCTGCTGCTGCTGCTGCTGCTCTGCTGCTGCTGCTGCGCTGCTGCTGCGTGCTGCTGCTGCTGCTGCTGCCTGCTGCTGCTGTGCTGCTGCTGCTGCTGCTGCTGCTGCTGCTGCTCGCGGGCCATCGTCTATACCAAATTCTCGTACATCTGAACACTAGTTTCTTCCTCCTCCTCAGCTATAGTGCCGGCGCTACAATGAGTGGATCATCTTATGACAAATATCATTGTCAGGTTTTTACCCAGAAGAAGAAGCCAACACAACAGGGCCGCCTTCCTGGAACACTTTCAAGCTTACCAAGGTGCAAGTCCATTCCCAGACGCACTTAAACCGTATACCACTACCACCACACTACATCCACTACCATACTACATCCACCACTACTACCACACTACATCCACCACTACTACCACCACACTACATCCACCACTACTACCACCACCACCACTATATCCACCACTACTATCACCAACTACATCCACCACTACCCACTACATCTACCACCACTAACACCACACTACATCCACCGCCACTACCACCACACCACATCCACCACCACTACCACCACACTACATCCACCACTACCCCACTACATCTACCACCACTACCACCACACTACATCCACCACCACTACCACCACACTACATCCACCACACTACCACCACACTACATCCACCGCCACTACCACCACACCACATCCACCACCACTACCACCACACTACATCCACCACCACTACCACCACACTACATCTACCCCACTACCACCACACTACATCCACCGCCACTACCACCACACCACATCCACCACCACTACCACCACACTACATCCACCACCACTACCACCACACTACATCCACCACCACTACCACCACACTACATCCACCACAATCAATACATGCGTCGAGAAATTTATTTTATTTTAATGTTAACCACTTAACTTGTATGGGTCATTCAGTGCAAGAAATAGTGTAGGCTCGATCTTCCACCACTCTCACTCACTCTCTCTCTCTCTCTCTCTCTCTCTCTCTCTCTCTCTCTCTCTCTCTCTCTCTCTCTCTCTCTCTGGCACTGATAAACGAAGAGGAGAGGGAAGACTGAGGTAAGGGGTGAAGAGTTGAGGGAGGGGAGAGCAGAAAGTTGAGGGAGCAGGAGTGAGAACTGCCGACAGAGGGAGAAAGGGATGTGCTAAGGGAGGGGGAGAGGGAAGGTGGGAATAATTGGTAGGAGAGAAGGAGAGGGGACATACCAAGTCCAGTCAGACAGTTCCCTGTTCACTTTCACTGATCCCAATCTTAGAATGAGGAAGGGAAGTTGCTAGGGTGCTAAGGAAGAAGAGAAGGTGTTAAGTAGGAAGGGAAGGTGTTAAGTAGGAAGGGAGGGTGTTAAGTAGGAAGAGAAGGTGTTAAGTAGGAAGAGAGGATGCTAAGGAGGAAGAGGTGTCAAAGAAAATAGGGGAGAGGAAGGAAAGAGGGAGATGTGTAACGAGAAAAATCTTCAGGTCATTGAACTTAAGTTGAGGTTATTTAACTGTTGTGGGTGGCATCCTGGGGAAGAACCTGTGGGTGGCATCCTGGGGAAGGACCTGTGGGTGGCATCCTGGGGAAGGACCTGTGGGTTGCATCCTGGGGAAGGACCTGTTGGTGGCATCCTGGGAATGGACCTGTGGGTGGCATCCTAAGGATGGACCTGTGGGTGGCACCCTGAGGATGGACCTGTGGGTGGCATCCTGGGGAAGGATCTGTGGGTGGCATCCTGGGGAAGGACCTGTTGGTGGCATCCTGGGAATGGACCTGTGGGTGGCATCCTGGGGATGGACCTGTGGATGGCATTCTGGGGATCGACCTGTGGGTGGCATCCTGGGGAAGGACCTGTGGGTGGCATCCTGGGGATGGATCTGTGGGTGGAATCCTGGGGAAGGACCTGTGGGTGGCATCCTGGGGAAGGACCTGTGGATGGCATCCTGGGGAAGGACCTGTGGGTGGCATCCTGGGGAAGGACCTGTGGGTGGCATCCTGGGGAAGGATCTGTGGGTGGCATCCTGGGGAAGAACCTGTTGGTGGCTTCCTGGGGAAGAACCTGTTGGTGGCATCCTGGGGAAGGACCTGTAGGTGGCATCCTGGGGAAGGACCTGTGGGTGACATCCTGGGGAAGAACCTGTTGGTGGCATCCTGGGGAAGGACCTGTGGGTGGCATCCTGGGGAAGGACCTGTGGGTGGCATCCTGGGGAAGGACCTGTGGGTGGCATCCTGGGGAAGGACCTGTGGGTTGCATCCTGGGGAAGGACCTGTTGGTGGCATCCTGGGAATGGACCTGTGGGTGGCATCCTAAGGATGGACCTGTGGGTGGCACCCTGAGGATGGACCTGTGGGTGGCATCCTGGGGAAGGATCTGTGGGTGGCATCCTGGGGAAGGACCTGTTGGTGGCATCCTGGGAATGGACCTGTGGGTGGCATCCTGGGGATGGACCTGTGGATGGCATTCTGGGGATCGACCTGTGGGTGGCATCCTGGGGAAGGACCTGTGGGTGGCATCCTGGGGATGGATCTGTGGGTGGAATCCTGGGGAAGGACCTGTGGGTGGCATCCTGGGGAAGGACCTGTGGATGGCATCCTGGGGAAGGACCTGTGGGTGGCATCCTGGGGAAGGACCTGTGGGTGGCATCCTGGGGAAGGATCTGTGGGTGGCATCCTGGGGAAGAACCTGTTGGTGGCTTCCTGGGGAAGAACCTGTTGGTGGCATCCTGGGGAAGGACCTGTAGGTGGCATCCTGGGGAAGGACCTGTGGGTGACATCCTGGGGAAGAACCTGTGGGTGGCATCCTGGGGAAGGACCTGTGGGTGGCATCCTGGGGAAGGACCTGTGGGTGGCATCCTGGGGAAGAATCTAAGGGCCTCAACAACAAAAAGCATCATACACCCTTTCCTGGATTGCCCTCTGTTATTAACCTTCAAAAGTCAATATTCCAAACATATGTTGCTGCCAAGTATGTCAACGCTGGGACCCCCTCCCCCTAAAAAAAAAAAAGAATAGTAATGACGGAAGGAAACAGCTTCGAAGTACCCACAGTAAGTGGTCAGACTTTAGACACCTTTTATTGTACAGGCAGAGACGCATCTACTATGAAATTAATGAAGGTTAAGCTTCAAGGCCCCTGATCCCGGAGGGGCCCCAGAAGCCACTTTAATCCACATTGCTTAAAAATTTTGGTCTTCTGGACGAGAAGTTTTTCCTAAATAGTAATAATAATAATATAATGCAATTCAATATGAAATAATAGTTAAAATATAAATTAAAAGGTTATTGAAGTATGACGTAGGGTAGCCGCTGCTGGTTGCCATGGTAACCCCATAATAGTTCAAGCTTCAGGGCCCCAAAAATGTAGGTCCGCCACTGCGTATAGCAATTAAGGAGTGGAACGGACTGCCTGTACGTGTCAGAGCCTGTCATAGCATGAGCCAGTTCATGCTATGACAGGAAGAGAGCCAAAATGTACCTAATGAATGAACTTACAGAAAAGGAAGAGAGTGATTTCTTGTAAAGCTAACACATATGTACCTATTATTGTAACATTTATGTACCTATTACAGTGATCTGATCCTCTCTTTAATGTTAATATAAATAACTCGCCCTGAGTTACTCAGCTGTTTTAACTTTTAAAGTTTAAATAATAGGATATTACAAGGACCCCAATGGAAATCAGTCACTTTGTCTGACTTTTCTGGGCTATCCTGAGTAATCTACGCATATGCTGCTACGTATTATAATTTATATAACTTTATGTGTGTACCTGTACCTGAATAAACTTACTTAATATACCTTATTCCTAGTAATGACCCTCGTATTGTAGATAGTCTTAATG